AGGTCATCTAAGGGAATCTCTTCCACGTAAAGTTAGCTGATCCTGGACTTACCGCATACCTGCAGAACGCCTTCCCGGGGCCGCCGGGATCCCAGTTCGATCGAGTGGTAGGGACGGCCGCCTGGTCCAGCTGACGCATCGACAGAGCACCACGGGGGTCAGATCGGGATTTGCTGAGAACCGGACGTCGGGTTCCGGCTGGTCTTCCACAGCACGGACGGGCCCTGCCACAACAGTCCAGGATTGGAGTGAGCCGCAGAGAATTTCCAGTCGAGGGGCTCAGAGAATCTTCGGGGGAAAGCGGTTGATGCTTTGGGTTGGAGAGTGTGTGAGTCTTGCAGGGAGTTTCTGTGACGGGCGGTCATGCCATCTGCCTACGCGGGGACCCTGGGAGGGTGAAGGGGTGCAGCAGAAGAGGGTGAAGAGATGCCCGAGGTCCCGTGACGGTAGACAGTGAGGCTTGGGTTCTCGGCGTCAGCTGGCTACCGGGGGAGGAGTAGTCTCTTCTCAGCTCAGACGTGTGGCGCTCCTTTCTAAGGAAGAGGGACGCACGAGCCTCGTTCCTAAGCCAGGAGAACTGCAGTTCTCGTGAGTGCCCACGGACCCAAAGGTCAAGCGCGGATGTGGCTGCCACCCTGCCCAGCCGGCCCCTTCCGAGAGAGGACACGTTACTAACAGCAAATCCCAGCTGGAAGCTCGCCCCGAGTTCCCCTGCTTCTCCCTCTTTCAGTGGCAAAGGTCCCAGTCTCTCTACCTTTTTGGGCCATGCCAGTCCTTTCCTTGTGTGTCCCAGGCTACGGGATCGCTCAGGACTTCGCTCTGCTCCGTGAGGACGTTGATTCCAGATGTGCTGCTTCCTCTCCCCTCCTGGGAAACCCTTGCTTGCAGAGCGGGCCTTCTCCAGCGTCCCCTCCTCCGGAGGCCTCCCCCCGCAGTCACTTACGCCTGCTTGCGCAGTGCCAGTCCCGTACCGTGCGGGCCGCCCACCGCTCCTCTGTGGGGCAGGGGTGATTATTACAGGCCAGCCTCTCTCACGTGAGTGCATCCCCGGAAGACAGGAGTTAAGACTTATTTGACTCTGTGTCTGCCCCAGTGTCTCATCAATGGCCAGGCACATAGTCGGGCTCGCCATTCATTCAACATGTGTTTGTCCAGCGCCCACCGTGTGCCAGGCCACAGACGTTCCCTGTTCTAGGAAGCAGCAGTACAGTCGAGATACACTGTCTCTTTTGATGGAGGTCACGCTCTGAGGGCGGAGGGAGACAGCCAGGGAACGAGATGAGTCAAATCCCAGGCGCGGGGGCCTGAGCGTGAGGAGGAGGGGTTGCCGGAACTCCCCCTTGGCCCCGTCGGTCCGCCGTGAGCTTGAAGAGGCACACCTTTGCCGATGCTCCGTTCTGGGTAGGAGCCGCTGACGCTAGCTTTGTACTTAGGATGACGTGCATCGCGCTGCTGCTTTTTATGGCGCAGATCACACATAGAGGCCCACGAGAAACAAGAGTACACAGCAATGTACATTTGGGATGTTATTTTTGTGCTGAATAATGAACAGCTGACTTTCTTGCTTTTAATTTTTCGGAGCATATGCCACGGGCCAGACCCTGTTCCAAGCCCTGTAAAGGGGTGACGTCATCCAGTCCTCGGAACACCCCGAGGGGAGGGGCTCTCTCCCCATTTGGCACGGGAGGCAGGGGGCGCACAGCGGCGTCACTGGTCCCAGACTCCCCGGGTGAGAGTGGGTCAAACCCGGCCTGTCCTTGCTAACTGGAGACCCTGCTCTGACGTGACGCTCTGCTCGGCCCGCGTGGAGTTGGCGAAATCGAAGCGAGCGCAAGGCTGTTCCTGCGTTAGCGGAGCCTCTGCCCCAAGCCAGCCATTCCTCAGCGACAGCAGCTGGCATCCGCTCTGATCGCAGATCCCGTTGACCTTCCTGATGGGCCACCGGGGCTTCCCTCTTCGATTCTGGTCTACCTTTGTGTTAGGGCCTTAACGTTGTTAATGCCTGCATTAATAGTTCTTTTTTTTAAAAAAAAAGATTTTATTTATTTATTTTTAGACAGAGGGGAAGGGAGGGAGAGGGAAACATCGATGTGTGGTTGCCTCTCGAGCGCCCCCTACTGGGGACCCAGATCGCAATCCAGGCCTGTGCCCTGACTGGGAATCAAACCGGTGACCCTTTGTAGGTTGGTGCTCAGTCTACTGAGCCACACCAGCCAGAGCTAATAGTTCTTTTGCTTATATTTCTTATTCCAAAGTACAAAACACTGATTAAAAAACACTGTTTCAGGGGAAAGGGAGAGCGAGAGAAGGCTGATGAGCCGTAGCTGGGGAAGGCGAGGTTGGGGCTGCCTTCTGAGCAGCAGCAGCCGATCCCACACGTGGGCAGAGCCTCCGCCGGGGCTGGTGCTCACTGCGTTCTCCGGGCACCGGGAAGGGAACACTCGGATTGGAGTGACGGAGTAGCTTGTGCTGAGTACACACAGCAGGTGTTTGAACCCAGCCAGCTCTGCCTGGCGGCGGTTTGAATACTGTGGTGGTTTTGCACAAAAAATCCCCGAGGCCCTTGGGTCTCAGGAAGCTGGGAGCCAGCATTGCAGGAGTCTCCTTGGGGGCCTGGGAGACAGCAGCTTTATTTCATCTCGGTGAGACTCCCACCCAGCGCCCCGCACCCTGACGGCATCACAGGGACCCCTGGGAGCCTGCAGAGCATTTGCTGAAGTCACCCATCCATCTGTGTTCTCATGGATGGATGTTGACCAAGCGATGAACTCGCCCGCCCTCGTAAGGATAAACGCAAGGTCTAGGTCCTTTTCCCTTTTGCAGGGAAGTGGAGTGCGTCCGGTGGGGGGAGGGTCGGTCCTCCCCAGCCCCTCTGTGAGGGTTGTGCAAGGAACCCACCATCTCAGCAGCTTTGGTTTTTGACCTGTAAAATGGAAAAAGAATTACTATGATAGTTAAATCAGCATCACAAAAACAAAACAAACCAAAAAAAACCCCTAAGCCCAATGCTTTTCAACAAATGTTAGTTTATTGCTCTTATTAGAAATGCTTCATCCCCGCTCCACGTTTCCAGGAGGAGAGAGGATTGATCAACCCTCCTGGCCTCTTCACTCCCCCAGGGTCTGTTCCCCACTGGACTGATTGTTCGGGAAGAACAGTCTGAGCCCCCCCTTTCCTCTTGGGCAGGAGCCTGCCTCAGCTCTTACCTTCGCAGGCAGCTGATCCGAGGGCTCAGCTAGCTGTCTGCCGGTTCTTGGCCTGAGCCTCATTCCTCGTCATTGCTAAGAAATGGGGTTCTGTCCACGGACTCTGCTACTCAATTCAGTTAGAGACCGAGCAAGAAAGAGCTATGCTGTGGTTTCAGCCTCTTTAATATTCCACCGTTAGTATTTGCTCTCTCCCTCTCCAGTTCTCACAGTCAGACCTTTAGAGTTGACAGGAGACTTTTTTTAAATGACTGCAGTTCACTTCACCGTGTCGTCTTCCCTGAGCCTGCCCGCAGGGGGCCGTCCACCCTTGCTGGCACGCTGCCGGTGATGGACGGTGAGGCCAGTGGCTTCCTCAAGGGGCGGCCCGAGGCGTCTGGCTGGGGCTGGCGTCACCCGCGGAGGGTTTGGTTCCGCAGTACTGGGCCCCCGGGCCTGCACGGGCTCAGTACACAGCGTCCAGGTGGGGTTTTCTTTGGGAGACAGCGCCGGCCCGAAGCCTGGGGGAGAGGGCGAGCATTCCCCGTGTTGCCGACACCTGATCCTGGGAACCCCCCTTCCACCTCTGTGGTGCACCTGCCGCAGGGTCCTCAGCAAGTCCTGGCTCGAGCTTTGTCTTCCATGGGGCGGGAGAGTGAGCTTCGGGGCGTGTTGTCGCCTGGGTGTGCCCCGGTGGGCCCTGCAGAGGGGCGGCTCCCATGAGGTCGCCTCCTGAGAGCTGAGCATGGTGCGTACCCTGGTGGCAGAAAATAAAACTGGCTGCAGGATTCTGTTTTCAGTGCCAACAATGCCAACTGCAAGCGCTTCAGGATCCTCGCCCCCAATGGGCTTGCCCAGTGGAGATGGGCCGATGTGGGGCCCGCCTTTAGGGCAACAGCCAGTGGGAACTCACACATGATGAGACACCGAGCTCCTTAATAACCTTAAGAGAAATAATAGCTGTGTTGACATATAATGCACCTGCCCCCATGCTGACCTTTTGAAAGTGTGCACCTCGGTGGTGGTTGGTGTATTCATAGGTTTGTGAAACCACCGCCACAGACCGCTGCAGAGTGCTTTCATCGCTCAGGAGAGACGCTCTGCACGCATTAGCATCCGGTCTCCGTCCCCCCACTCCCCCCCCCCACCGTTGGAACCCCCTCCCCTGCCTCCCGTCTCTGTGGCTGCGCCGGTCCCGGACAGGTCATCTGGGGAACCACACGGCGTGCAGACTTTGTGCCTGGGCTCCGTCACTGCGTTTGCTCTTTTCGGAGCCCTTCACGTTGTAGCATGCATCGATGCTTCATCTCCTTTTATGGCTGAATGACATTCCGCTGAGTGGGTGTGCCGAGTTGTGTCCACCCGTCCTCTGGGTGGTACACATGCTGGCCAGGTCGTCTCCACGTTTTGGCTATTGCCAATGATGTCTCTGTGCCATTCAGGTACAATTGTTATGTGCGCATATGTTTTCAATTGTCTGGGGTGTGTATTCGTAGAATTACTAGGTCAAAGCCCTTTAAAAACCTTTAAAATGGCTTTTCTTGCTGTGCTGTCTTGGACCCCGTATTCCCATTCTTGGGGTATCTATTCACTTCCTCTGTGCCGAGTGCTGTCTGTGACTTGATGCAGAGTTAGCACATCTGGTACCCAGTACCCAGTTTAAAGTTCTTTGTAGAAGTAAATAAAGCTGATTCAAGTGAGGATGAACAGACATGAGAATGCTTATCATCGCCTCCACTAGGTCATAGCACCTTGTTCTCTCCTGTACCAAGCTTCGACGGGGAGATTTACGAAGATTTTTTTTTTCTTTTCCAGAATCGCAATGAAATAAAAAATGGCACTATCCTTCGATTAACTACATCTCCGGTAAGTTGGTCTTCGTGTAGAGCTTCCCAGAGAACGCTTTGCTCTGCTGTCCCTCCTTATGTGACTATGGGTGTTAATATTTGAAGACGACTTCAGTGCAGAATGGGAGGGTTCTGGAACGCCCTCGCGTGCAGCTTCTAGGTAATCAGGAATGCCCTTTCCTCCACTGCCCCTCGCAGACGAGGGGGCCTTTGATCCAGGTGCAGTGCGAGCAAACCGACTGCAAGGGCCGGTTAGTTAGGTGGTCGTCTCCGCACTTATCATGTCACAGCTGGGGCGGCTCCGCTCCACTGCTGGGCTCTGACGCACCTGCCCACACGCCCGCCTCCTGCCGTGAGAGTGAAGTCACACAACCGACAGACAAGGCCAGAGACAGCCTGTTACTCCCCCGTAAAGTCAGCGGGTGTGCGTGTACGGGTGTGAGTGTGCATGCGTGTGCACACGTGTGCATGTGTGACAGAGAGGGCTTGAGCATTTCCCCAGTTTGGTCAGTTATTATAACAGTTCGGACAAATGCAGTTCCACAAATATTGGCACTTACGCTGGGTCATTGGCGGCTGATTCTGGCTCGAACGTGTTCAAGCTCTTCCGAAGAAAAGCTGCCGCACGGAGGGCTGGAGGGCCCGGGCCAGTGACGACAGGGCTCATCTCTGTGTCTCTCCCTTGCTGGTCGAGGCTGCAGGTAGCACCGCTCGCATGTTTAAACTATATCACTTAACAGTGCATCTTCTTGCTTTCCTAAAAGATAATCTGCACAAAATACACCAAGTGTTACTATTTTCCCTCTGCATATGTGATGAAAACTGTGTCTAACTCTCATTTTCAGTTTCTACCGAAGCCATGTGGTGGGCTAAAAATAAATGTAAAAATTGGGTAAAGCATCTGGCTAAAATTAAATTGTGGGTACTGTAACCACCACACATTCTTCTTGCTGAAAATTATATTAGAGAGGCCGTACAACGCCCTGGCGCCCTGCCCGGTAACGTCTTGAACCCGGACACGGCGATGAGCTCAGCAGAACGCGGAGCTGGACGTGGCCGGCCCGCCTGTCCATGCCTTCTTTCCCACTTCATGGCGGTTATTATCACTTATGCTCATTTTCCAGTGGCTGCATGACGAGCTGAGACATGTTTGTCTGGCTTAGCACTGATCTTCTCACTCGAGTCAGCAAGAATTAATGTTCCTTTGACCTTCCGAGACCGTGGTTTCTCTGGGTTTTTCTTTTTTTCTTTTTTTTTAAGATTTTATTTATTTATTTTTAGAGAGGGAAGGGAGGGAGAAAGAGAGAGAGAAACATCAATGTGCAGTTGCTGGAGGCCGTGGCCTGCAACCCAGGCATGTGCCCTGACTGGGAATCGAACCTGCGATGCTTTGGTTCGCAGCCTGAGCTCAATCCACTGAGCTACGCCAGGGCAGGGTTTTTCTAGTTCCTGTGGATCTTGCTAAGACTCCTCATTTGCTCGCTGGTCAGAAAGGGCACGTCTCACGTGTTGTTTCATTGGAGAATTAAGCCCCATTTTTTATTTTTATTTTTTTAAGATCTAGGCCTTCTTTAAGCCCCCAAAGAAGTCAGTTCTCTACCTCTCTCTCTTTTTTTTTTTTTTTTATGGCCCCGTGTTCATGACCAAAATTTCCACAGTGCTAAGCCGCTCCTGGAGAGAGGGGTAGGTGTGTGGCCGGGGGGAAGCATTCGGCATCCTGGAAGCACACACACTCTGATGACGGCGTGGCTCTGTCCGGCACAGCGGGCTCTGTCCTGTTCAGGCGGCGACCTTCACAGTCCCAGCCCGCAGCGGCACAGGTGTGGCAGCCCGGGCTCAAGGAGGAGTTGTAAGATGAAGTCCACCCGCAACAGACCGGCTCCCAATTTCTAAAGAGCAGTGGGCGCCACACTGGCACCCTTGGAGGAGCCTCAGAATGCGGGCGTCCAGGCCCTTCATGAGCAGCTGAGTTGGGGTGTCTGGGAATGGAGTTCGGGGATCTGCGTTTGGTGGAAGCGCTTGATGGGCGGCTGTAGCCGCCGCCGCTGCGTCTGGATTTGGGAACCGCAGTGTAAGCCAGATATTCTGGATGTGCAAACTTCCCTTGTTTCTGGTGGATTATATTTTTTATTATTTTGTGTTTGACTGAAAAATATGGTTCGGCATATGCTAACTCTTGCACTTTCTACGCGTACACTGAAAATGTGTTCAAGAAAACAGTGTCCATCAAGTTTGCTAGGAAGTGTGAGAGAGCCACAAAGAAACCAGCACTGGTGTTATGCGGGCTTTTACAGCCCCTTATCTACCATGGCTGGACTCTCTCAGTAGCCAGATGAGAGTGCACACACCCCCACATGCGTGCACACCCCCACACACATACACTCATGCACGTACACACTCATGCACACGCACGCAAACGCTCTCGTTTTCGATTCTGCGCAGCTGTGCTGAGTTTTACCTCCACTCGATCAGAGGTGGCGTTTTTGTTGATGAGTTTGCTTTCTGCCTTCCTCTGTCACAGAACAGCCCTTTCTGGGTTGTTTCTGGCAAAATAGGGGGTTGATAAGAAAAAGTCTAAAAAAAGAGCAGCACTGTTCTTCTTATAAAAGCCGTTCCACTGGGCCCGCGGTCCTCCTCTGCCTCGCACAGCTCATCCAGGAACTGGAGCGGCCGTGTGCACGCATGTGCTGTTCAGGCGTCATATCTCTGCCCGGGTCCCTGGCATCATATCATGGGCATACAGCCACGGGCGTGCCCGGAAGTGTGTGTGTGTGCATGCGTGTGTGCGTGTACGCACACATGCAGTCAGGGTTTGGGGAGCTTCCAGGGCTGCAGCTAAGCGGCGTTTTCTTCTGCCTGCAACGGTGGGAACAGCTGTGCCAGTGGCCCCGGAGGTCACAGGCTGCCTGGAGCTGAGTTTCAATAAATTTTGGCTGCTGTGCTCATAGGAGAAGCAGGGGGTTGCCAGACTGCTGGACTGACTTCCCTGAAATTGTGTTGTAAAAAGTCCCCTCAGTGAATCCGTCTGTCTGTGGCCTTGCAGTGGGAGAAGCCTGCCCATGTGCAGCACAGGACCCGCAAGGACAAAAAGGTTATCAAGTCTGATGTTTGGAAAGAATTGCAGAAGCAAAGTCAAAACCAGCAAACCATTGGCAAAAATAGCAAAAATCAATTGGCATTATGCATGATAAATAGAGGGCTAATTCCTTAGCTTGCAGGGATTATAAATAAATAAGCATACCTAACCCAAAACGGATGGTGAAAATGGATAAGCAAAATGATCTATATGTTTCTCTATATCAGTCTCCCTCTGTGTCTGTGGATCTATATGTCTATATACCTATTTATGCTGGCAGGCCAAGCCAGGATAAATATAAATATAAGTATATAGAGAGACATCTATAGCTATAGATAATAGGTGTATATATATAATAGCTATAGATCTATATAGCTATTATATATATATATATGAAAAAAGAAACTCAATCTCTCTCCTAAAGGAGATGAAAATCGACCCTCCCCAGTAATCAAGGTGTGAGGCAAGGTGCTACAGTATTGAGAGTATAAACTGGAGCAGCCTCTTGGAGGGGCAATGTAGCTGTGTCCACCCAAGTTTAAGATGCAAGTGTCTTTGTCCTGACAGTTGGACTGCTGGGAATTTATCCAATAGACTCTTTAGGACACACCCCCCATCCACGCAGGGCTGTGTGCACCCTTATTGTTAGCGATCAAAACCTGGAACCCTGGTAGCTGTCAGTCGGGACTAGTGAAGCCCATTAGGTCACATCCAAGTGACAGAGCCGTGCCTGGCAGCAGCCACGGTGTGGCGTGTGCTGCCCTCAGACATCACCGAGTTACAGGATCACGTGCACGGACAGGCTGCAGGCTCTTCTGCACAGAGCGGCGCCAGTCAGGCACCTGGACAGGAGGTGCCCGGAACGCTGAACATAGGACAAGTTCATTCTCAAGGGACAACTATACAGTGGTGAACATTGGGTTCACTTCCTTTTATTTTAGAACTCCTGGTTAAGTACTTACCTATTTTTATACCATGTGCTGGTATTATTTTTAATTAAATAGTCACAAATATCATAAGGCCACTACAGTATATAGGAGATGAATCAGAATGTTCTATGCTAAAAACATTTCAGTATTCCCAACGGTTCGATTTTAAGAGCCCTTTTATGTGCGACCTGAATTCTTCTTGCTCACCACTGTGGCCATGTGGACGTCGTAAACAAAACGGCCCAACAAACACCCACCATTGCTTTGTCATCTCCGAGCACAGTCCTCCCTTTCTGCTCTCTCGTGTTCGGGGACCAGTGTGAGAGGCACCCCAGCCCGAGGGCCGGTCACCCTGGTGCTGGGGACTAGTTGCTCTGGCAGGAAGCAAAACGGTGATATCTTGGTCACCCAGTGGATTCAGGTGATCAGAGGTCCGTAACACGAAGGCCATTTAAACCGATCTTTCTTTCCTGACTTGAGAGACTACACAAGGGCTGTCCATGTCCGAAGGTCTATTTCCAGCCACTGTTCCATGAGCCCAAGTTAGAGACCAGCAGCCAGGAGAGGTGTATAAGCAGGGGAGGGACCAGATCCCTCTGGCCGCTGCCCAGGAGCAGATCAGGGGCGGCCAGGGGACAGGGTAGCGTGCGTCACAGCAGCCCAGGCAGGCGGTGGAGAGAGCGGGCTGCGGGAGGCAGGGAGGGCTGCAGGAGTGGGTGCAGGGAGAGCCCCGGGGGGGCTTCCTGGGGATGGATGTGGCACGGATGCCCCTGGTGTTGGGGCGGGGTGAACGGTGGTGCTGCTGACGGGGGAGAGGAGGTTGGGGAGGGGACAGCGAAGGGTTTGGGATGCTGATACGTGTCCAGGAGGACGTGTGGACCAGGCAGTCAGGTGTGTCTGCTGGGCAGCCACCACCAGGTGTGTGATGGGCTGGATGAGGTCCTGTGAGGAAGGGGGAGCCCTGGGCAGCCACCACCAGGTGTGTGATGGGCTGGATGAGGTCCTGTGAGGAAG